AGGCAGCTCCAATCCCTCCCAGGGCAGGAAAGCAACCATATGGGGTAGCCCAGGGCAGTGCAGACTTCATGGGGCCTGTTGAGATGTGTGGGTCCAGACTTACTGATTCCAGCCTCAACTCCTGCTCAGGCCACTCATGGTGACAAAGCCAGGTTCAAGGGTGCAGACATGAGGTCAGGAGCGAGGACAATGCTAAGAAAGTGGAGGAAGAGAGCTGCGGGCAGATTTCATAGATTTTATATAAGGTCCCAGGGACCCAACTGCCTATAAGAGAACTGGTCCTCCTGAATGGTAATCATTAAAAGATGGAAAGAGTAGATGGGAAAGGGTTACAAGGAAGAATCTATGGATCAGAAAAATAGAAAAAAAAGTAAAAGATATGAAAGAAGAAATAAATGGTCACTCATTAATACAGACCAGAACCTGGTGGGCTGGAATCGATGAAAAGGGAGAGAGAGAGAGAGAGCAGTATCTCTCGGGTTACATGGAATACCAGCGTTCACAGGACTTGTACCACTCATGAAAGCACAGGGCATCCTCTCAAGGAGGTCTTGAAAGCCCGGGCAAGAAAGTGAGCTCGGTAGGTTTCCACGCTCTGCCGAGAATGAAGACAGAAAGAAGGCCACAGGGGACCCAGGTCTTGAGTGGAGCAAGGGTATTTTATTAGCAGAAATACAGGCTTATATATCTTTAGTAAAATGTTTACTTAGCCATTACAAAGAATGAAATTCCATCAGTTACAACAAAATGGATAATCTAATACATTTAAGTCCGCTGACATTGAAAAGAGTCACTGAAGGGAGTTACTGGAAGGAATCCAAGCAGGTACCCCTTCCCGTGATCTCAGTGATGAGAACTGTGTGCAGCTCCACTCGTTCCCCTAATAGGAACTGATAAGGAACAGAGAATCCTTGAGAAATGGCACACAAAGGAAAAAAAAAATGCAACTTACTGGATTCTGTAAAGTTGAACGTCCCCTGACAGTAAATGACTTCCGTATTCTTGCTCTTCTGCTCCAATTCTTCATTATCTTCCATTCAGTTTTCTGGTGTTGCCAGGCAGAACTCCTGTGGAATGGCTGTGGGAAAGCAAAGGGGAGATTTAGAGTCAGGATGTGACCAGGGGACTGTGGTGCCCTTGTCTCCAGGGAACTCCCAGGGCCTTGGTGTTTCACCTCTTCAGTGAAAAAGTGGACCTTTGACCTCCAACATCCTGTTGCCACCCTCAACTTGCCTATGTGTGACCAAGAATGAGGCTGTGCCAATCTGTTCCTCCTCCAGGTGGTCACTGTCTCCATGCATCTCTGCCCACAGCCTTCCTTGCCTCCTTCTCCTGCTGCTTCTTCTCTAATTGCTTCCTTATTTCTCTCCTCTAGTCACTGTTACTTTACTTCCTCCTTCAACCTCTAGCAACCCTAGAGTTTGCAATGTGGACACATTAGAAGGAGGAACATCGGTGTATGGCCACTGTCTCCAATCAGTCCATTACTCAATTAACCAATACATTTCTCCAAGGGAGGAGCTGGCATGGACTTGAGAGTGTGTTGAGCCCTGGGGGAGGGAAGGACAAAAATTCCACATAACAGAGACTCTCCCGTTGCCTGGGGTGACCTGAGTTACCTGGGAGATGCTTAATGCTCACAGCAACACCTCAAGTTTCACAGACCCTTAGAAAGGATAGAGGCAAACACCTCCAATTTCATTTAGCCAGAATAATGTGACAAGGGTCCTCCATAAACATGTGGTAGCTGCCGGGTTTGCACTGAGACTTGGAAAATTGGGAGGGATGAGACTTGGGAAGGTGTAAGGAAAGGAGAGAGGATGGGGCAGGCCTGGGTTGGGGAGAAGGGGCAAGACTGTCTGGATGCAGCAGTGGGTTCTGAGAGTAGCAGTGACCCCAGGACCTGCTGCCCTGGGAATGCCCAATCCTAGGAGACCAGGTCAGCAGGGCTGTGAAAGCAAGTGTGTGAAGAAGCCCAGTGGGCCCTTCACAGACTCTAGAATCTGCAGATGTGGAGGGTCTCCAGGAGCAGCAGGACATGGACCTCTCACCCGGAAGCACCTTCAGAACATCAGCCTTGGCTGCTGCAGAGGCTGTGAAGAGCCCCAGGAGACCGGGCCCGGACAGGGACCCCAGAGCCTGTGTGCTGTGACTCATCCACCCCCGGCAGCGCCCTTTACACGAGGAATTAACAGTGAGGACAAACATGAGGGGAAGTCACAAGTCCTGAAAGTGCAGGAGGAGAGAGTTCACATCTCACCCACCACCTCACAGGCACTGCAAGGACGTGGTCTCCAGTGTCAACTGACAATGAGAGTTTTGTGCCCACTAGGATATGGTCCTCATAGTTCAACATGCAATAGAAAACAGCCTGCAGTGCACAATACCCGAGATGTGCTGACCGGAGACAAGGTTTCCATATTAGTAAAAAAGCAGAAACGAGCAGCTCTTATAGGAAAAATAATTTTTGAAGAGTAAAGCAACAAAAGCTGATTAGAAATAGAGCACAATGCAAGTCCAGGACACAATTTCTCTATCATATCATTTCATATGTAAAGAATAAGTCAGAATTCTATACACATTTCCTTCTTCTTAATTTCATGTTCACTTTTCTTAGCCACCAAACAGAGTTTAACTCTGGGGTTAACAGAGGGTTTAACTTCCAGAACCCTCTCCCATCAGATCCCAACGGAATCTTGTTAGCTACCTGTCTCCCCTTTCTCATCACTGCACCAAATGCTCTCCAGAGTACACTCCATGAGCAAAAAGGTGGTTAGAATGAGCAACCCACCCACATATCCTCCAGTTGAGGCCTGCTGGATCTCACGGCATCACCTTGACCTTTTTCCCAAGGTCCTGAAGAGACACCGCACTGTGGATAGCAGATGGCAGTCATCTGTGCTCTGTGCAGTCACAGTCATTCAGTAAGTCACTGATATCAGTTGCAAACCTAAAGATAGAGATGCTGAAAAAGTCAATTCTCAACCTCTTACTTCTACATGTCCACTAGAGCTCTCACCTTCATGCTAACCATCCTGAAATCACAAGTGTTTTGACACATGTATAACATGCCTTTAAGTAAATTATAGCAGTCACAACTCGCTAGTGCCTACCAACTATAATACACAAAAGCCACTATATATGTTTATATATGTGTGCGGATAACTCATGCAGTCGATTTCAGCACTTTGTGAGCCCAGGGACTAGCCTGCCAGGGCCGTCTGTCATGGAATTCTCCAGGCAAGAGTACTGGAGTGGTTAGTCACTTCCTTCTTCAGGGGATCCTCCTGACTCAGGGTTCTAACCCAGGTCTTCTGGATTGCAGGCGAATTCTTTATTGTCTGAGTCACCAGGAAAGACTGAATGAATCTTCAGATCATCACCACGAGTCCTGCCGATTCTGACAGATAACGGCAGAACAGGAACTTTGGTACAAGTGAAGGTGTTTCCCAGGTGGCTTAGTGGTAAAGAATTTGCCTGCCAATGCAGGAGACGTGGGTTCAATCTCTGGGTTGGGAAGATACTTTGGAGGAGGAAATGACAATCCAGTTCAATATTCTTGCCTGGAAAATAGCATGGACAGAGGAGCCTGGTGGGATATAGTCCATGGGGTCACAAACAGTGGGGTCATAACTAAGTGACTGAGTATGCATGGATATATACAGGGTGTTAACACCCCTCTCTTGTTATTTCCTTTGTGTTTTCTGGCCATTTCAAGATGACTGTTTGCTGTTAAATTAACAAAGAAAAGACCTCTGACGCATGAGAGCATTTAGCCTGAGGGGCTAAGAGAGATGTGGCCCTTTTCTGGTTTCCATGGTAATCAATGGGCCAATCTGCTGTTCATTCCCACTGTAACTGGTAGACTCCTTATCCCCTCAGAGTAAAGAAAACTATAGCTGCTGTCTTCTGCCTGTCCCCTGCTATCCACACTGGGTGTCTCTCTGAGAGGGTAACAGGCAGAAAGGCCAGGGGTCTCCAAACAGAGGAAATAGGCTTCAAGTGTCAGACATTTTTATCTCTCTTAAACGGCAGGAATGATGCTTTTTATTTTCCCCCTTTTCTATACAAATTTAAAAGGAGATTTCTCTTAAAATACTGTGTTGCCATAATGACACCTGGTTCCACCTGAAGTTAACTATTCTCAAACCTTGAGTTAACCAATGCACTTTTCTTATGGAAATGTTTGTCTTAAGCTATGTTAATGTGCTATGCCTTTACCCCAAACTCTGTCTTGAAGTCCATTCTGCCTAATGGTTCAGAACCTACTTGACAAACCATTATTTTATATTCAGACATTGTTCCCCTAATCTATGTAAACGAAACTACTTGTATGGTAATCTGCCTGTCTACAGGATTCAAGTCAATCATTTTATGGCCTGGGATGACTATTCCGGTGCCAAGATTATCCCAAAATACATCTTATGGATGAGGGGCCTGGTGCCATTCTGAGTTTTAAGACATTCCTTTCTTTCTTTTCTTTTCTTTTTTTTTTTTTTTTTAAGAGGCTTTTCAGGGCAAAATTTAATAGTACGAAGAGGTTTACAAAAATAGATTGATACTATTTTGGGAAATAATACTGTAATGTTTTCTCAATTCAGTTTTGATAAATTGTACCTGAGTATACAAAAATTATTTCAAATTCAAACTTGACTACATAAAAAAGGGAGAGATGAAATGAATTCAGCTAGATGACAGATCTGGCAAAATATAAGAATGAAAACAATTCTGCCTGGGGCACTTATTTCATGTCCAGATGTAAACACCACTTTCAGTTGATAACTTACATTCCTCCCATCACAGGTTTGGAGTCGATCATGCAGTACAGAGCCACACAGTCAAAACCTCTGTTTTGACGCAACACAAAAAAGTTGTTTCTGTTTCCTTAAACTGCCAACTGGCTGTCTATTTTTCTTTATCCCATTTATTTGTATTCACAAGTTAACAAGTAGCGTCAATAAGTATTGTAGGTGAAGTGGGGTATTGCTGGATGAAAGGCTCTATAAGATGTCTTTACTGATCGAATCAGAAGGTTTATTGAGTTCAACCCTCACACCTTTTTCACCTGTTAGATATTTTACTTTAGCTCGCGCTCTCTCATCTGCATCAAAATACCAAACAGTTATTGCGTACCTTGTAGCATATGGTGGTTGTACTTCATGAGGGTTGTGACGGTCAGACCAGAAAAACAGCAGTCTATCAAACTTGGGTTCAATGTCAGCAAACTGGGCTTTGCCTTCTGGAAAAATTCGAAGTATACCTCCACTTACCTTGGCATCCCAGTCTTTATTAAGATAATATATACATGTCACACATCTTCCATCTCCATTTGGATTATCGACATGACGTACGTAACCTGTTCCACTGCCAGGAGAGCAAGCAACCATGGCTTTCGTCCGGCCATTGATTTTGTAGTTGCCCAGCTTCCCGTTACAGTGGCGGATCAGGACGTCCATGTTGTTCATGAGCAGCCCGATGGTTTCGCAGCCGGGCTCCTTGCCCTCGATCCAGGTGATCTTATCGCCTCGGATGTCCTTGGACGAGTCGCTCTTCTGGCTGACCAGCTGCCCGTGCGTGAACTTGCCCCTGTCGTGCAGGGCGCGCACCTCGTCGCCGATCTGCTGGCCGGTCTCCTTGCCCAGGAAGTCGTCCACCACGCAGATGCCGTGCTTGTTCATGCAGGGCACGATGTACTCCAGCGCCAGCTTCAGTACCGGCATCGGCTTCGTCTGCCCGTTGGGCCGCAGGCCGCCGTGGCTCACCCCTCGCCCGGCGCGTTACTCAGCGGGTACAGGTTCGCCTTCTCCTGGTACAGCGACGGGCGGGCCAGCAGCTCCTCCTTCGCGGACTCCGCCTCGGCGGCCGCCGCTACCCAACCCTGCCTGCTGGGGTCCACGTGGGGCGGAGACGCGGCTGCCGCGGGGTCGGCCGTATGCTTGGCCTTCGCCTTCGCCTTGGCCGCGTCTCCGGAGGCCCGCGGACCCGCGGCCTCGACGGCTGGGTCCTGGCGCGGCGCCGCCTTCCTGGCCTCCCTGGCTCCGGCGGCCCTGGGCGGCGGCGCGCGGCCCGGCTTAACGGTTGGCCCGTGCCGGGGGCAGGAACCTTCTCGCCGACCTGGCACACGAGCTTGTGCTTCTTCCAGTCCTGGTGCTGATGCTCCTTGCTGCAGTAGAAGGAGCTGCGGCAGCGGCTACAGCGCAGCAGGTTCTCCATCTTCCCGCACAGCTCGCAGTACTGCCGGTCTCGCTCGCTCGGGCTCGGCCCACCGGGCCCTCCGCTGTCATTGGCCATGGCGGCGGGGGTGGAGGCGGCGGCCGAGCAGGAGGGGTGGCGGCCGGACGGCCTAGCCTCGGGCCGGGGAGCGGGTTGAGCGGCAGGGGCCGTCACTGCGCCATGAGCCCGCCGCCCCTCGCCTCAGGAGACCGGCGCCCTGCGCCCTCGGCCCGGCCGCGTCCTCGTCCTTCGGTCGCGCCGCGCAGCGCCGGCCGCCGCCTCAGCGCCTCATCACCGCCGTGGGCTGAGGGAGCGCGGCCTGCGCGGCGGACGGCGCCCTCCGCTCGGGCACGCAGGCCCGGCGCGCGAGACCCGCCGCCTTGGCCGCCGCCGCCTCAGCGTTCCGGGCGGCCGGCTCGGCCGGCGGAGCAGCGCAGGGCGTGTGGGCGCCACTCGCTCTGCGCTCTGCGCGCTCTGCACGTACACCCTCCTTTCTTTCTTAACAAACTGCTAGTGACTATATAACATCCAGCTAAAGACTAACAGGGGGGCACTCTTTCTGCCCCCTTCTGATGCCTATGTCAGAAACTTTCTCTATCTCCTTTATACTTTAATTAAACTTTATTACACAAAAGCTCTGAGGGATCAAGCCTCGTCTCTGGCCCTGGATTGAATTCTTCTCCTCCGGAGGCCAAGAATCTCGGAGTCTTTTTGTGGTTCAGCAACAACCTTTCATCTCCAGGACCCATTTACTTCAGATATGTAAGACGTCCCATCTATTAACCCTTTGATATCTCTGTCAACTCTGGAGTCTTTTTTTGGTCTCAAGTCCAGGCAAAGTACAGCACTTGCAGGCCTGCAAAATGTAGCCCAACAGCTTCTGCAGAGTATTTGGCTGGCCTGATTTGATGATTCATTTTTGTAGGTATTTCCTGGGCTTGTGAATACAACCCACGTACTCAGGAGCCTTTGGGACACTGAAACAGCAATGCCAATACCTAGATCTTAGAGGGTTTCCCAGCAGGTGTTCCACTTGAGGGGACAGGTGTGGACACAGGACCCAGGGCAATTGTGCTGAACATCATCAGAGAAGAGGTGAGGACGGAGGGAGGGACACTGCATCTCCTCACCAGCCCATACCTCCACCACTGACTCTGAGATCAGGTAGGGAGGGACACAGGGTCTTCAGAGAGAAACGACCAGCACACTGAACACTACACACCCCACTGAGAGAATGAACTAAGCCACGAGGAATTGAACTGACAGATCATGCTCATAGCCTGGAGACTTAGTACTGTTGACATTTCTATAGTACCCAAAGCTAAGTAAAAATTCATTGCAACACCAATCAAAATATTAACATCATTTTCATAGAAATGGGAAAAACAAATCCAAAGATATATATGGAACTGCTAAGGACTCCACACAGCAAAATAACCTTGAAAACAAAGATCAAAATATCTCACCTCCTGATTTCAAAACACATTACAAAGATATAGGAATCAAACCTGTATGATACTGACATAGAAATAGATACATAGCCCTAAAGACCAGAATACAGAGCTCCAAGAAAAGTCACGGATACATGGTCAAATGAAATTCATCAAGGTTCTAAGACAATGGAATAGGAAAAGGGTAGTCTCTTCAATAAATCAGTACGATGAAAAGATAACCTACAGAAAAATTACAAGCCATGTATCAGATAAGGAGCTCATCCTCAAAATTCATAAGAAAATACCACAGCTCAAATGCAAAACAAATACAATATTAAAAAGAGTAAATAAGGGAGTTGAGGAATGTGCAAAGATTTAAACAGACATTTTGGGAACAAGACAGACAAATGACTAGCATACAAAGGAAAAGGTTTTCAACCTCACTAATCATCAGGGCAAAGTAAATCAACACCTCATGCCTGTTAGTTTGTATATTATAAAGGCAAAGAATTAACAGGTTAAGGCCATGATGTGGGGAGCTAGAACCTTTGTACACTGCTGGTGGGAATGTAAATTGTGTGGCTATGTTGTGGAAAACAGTAAAAGTTTCCTTATAAATGTATGAAAGGAGTAGCATATGATTCAGCAAACACAGTTCTGGATATATATATATACAAAGGAAATTAAATCAGTATCACAAAGAGATATCTGCAGTCCTAAATTCACTGCATCACTTTCCACAACAGCCTAAATACACAACCAACTTCAGGTAACAAGTATTCTGTGCCTGAGCTAACTTTAGATAACTGGGAGAAACTTGGTGCTCAAAATAACTGCTTAAGTCTCTTAGCCCCTTGGGGAGGATGAACACAATATTATAACTAAAGTAACATGTCCAAAGTGTCTTAGTCTGAAGTGATGCCACAAACGTTTTACAGATAGGGAAGCCTCATATACACACAGCACCAGCCAGGGTTTACCCCAATCTTGGAAAGACTGGGAGGAATCAAACCTGGGAAAGTTTGAGTAAAGGTAACAGGGTGGGCAGGACTGGGGTGTGCGGAGCAGGGGCAGGGCTGTCTAGATGGAGCATTGGGTTCTACGTGGAACAGTGATCCTGGGTCCTGCTGCTCTGAGTCTCTGACCTGGGTCTGGTCAGACCCAGGAGGCCAGGTCAGCAGGGCTGTGAGAGCCAGTGTGTTAGGAAAGCCAGCGGCTCCCTCACATTGTCAAGCGTCTGGGGGCTTGCTGGTCTCCAGGGGCAACTGGGCATGGACCGATCTCACGTGAAGGCGCCTTCAGCACAGCATCCTTGGGCTGGAAGCTGAGATGAGCTCCAGGAGACTCAGTCCAGTCTGGGACGCCAGAGCCTGTGTGCGTTGACTTATCCAACCCCGAGAACACCCTTTACATGAGCAATAAACAATGAAGACAAACGTGAGGGCAATCTACGAGTCCTGAAAATGCAGAGGTAGCGAGTTCATATCTCACCCAGAACCTGACACTCACTGCAAGAGCTTGGCCTGCAGTGTCAAGTAACTATTAGGCTTTTGGTCCCATTAGGATGTGGCCATCACAGGAGAATTTAAACAGGCCTGAAGTCCCTTGTATGTAAGACTCTGAAGGCACCAACCATGAGCCATTCTCTCGTGTTCGTCAATGAAAGGACAGAGAAAGAGGAGTCTTGTGAGAAAGGACACTTCTAAACGTGAAAGCAAGAAGAGATGTCTCTAACAAGAGACGACTACAGGCGCAGCACAACAAAGCACATGCACACACAGTTTATTATTTCACTAAAATACGAGGAGCAAATCACAAGCTTACACATACTCCCTTCTTCTTCAGTTTATATTCACCTTCTTTTATCTCCCAAGTGGTCCAGAAACTCTCTCCCTCCAATTTAAATCCTCAGTTCATATTCACCTGTTTTATCTCCAAAGAAGCAGGTATAACCTGAGTGGTTCAGGAACCCTCTCCCTCTAAATCCTACTCTCCCTGAGACCTGTGTCCTATCTAATTCTCTTCTACATCACTGCTGCTAAGACTCTCTAGCATACATTTCTGTAGAAAGACAACCATGAGCAATAATACAGTTATTATACAAGTTGACCCTTCCATCTTTCCTCCTCCTCTTGGCTCACAAAGCATCTCCCTGGTCTTCCCTCCAGGTTCACAGACCTTCCCTGTGCTTGGCGGAGTCAGAGCCTTTCAACAAGATGTTGATCACAGTTGCAAAATTTCACATGACATAGAGATCCTGAGAGAATCCCAACCTTACTTTTCCACATGCTCAATATAGCTCTTACATTCAAGCTTATGAAACTGAAATTCCAACATTTATGGACACACCTGAAATATCACTAGTGTGACCAAGTAATTCTGTGGTTTTTGTGGGGCTTTTTAAAAATATAACACATTAATTATTGTTTGAAGTATATTCATTATAAATAGGCTGATCTGAGTAGTGGCTACTCCACTGGAACATTCAGCTCTAAGAGCTCCAATGATAAGGAAAAGACGCTGAGCTGCTGTTCAGGTTTTTCTTTATTGCAGAAGATTTGATGGTCTCATATGCTCAGTCATATGTAGGTATACCTGGGGCTCTTGGACACAGGCCAGGCATTGGGAGAGTGCTTGTGGACATTACAATAGTAAAGTGAACACTCAGATTTAAAGAAAATTCCCAGAGGGGGCTCACTTGTAGGCAGAGGTGAAGGCATGGCCCTGCACACCTGTACTACAAGTAACCAGAGGGTAGGCACAGAGGGGAGAGAGGACATTCCCTCTCTTCATGAGCCTGTCTTTCCCGTCCCTGACTCAGATGACTCAAACAAGGTAGTGCAAGAGGCTCATTAGGAAGTGCAAGATTTGGGCACTGAAAACCATTGTACATTGTTGAGAGAAAGAAGACACAAGTAAATGGAATGGCATAGCATATTCACAGACTGGAATATTTAGTGCTGTTGACCTTATACAACTAAAAGTGATGTACATATATATTGAAACCACTCACAAAATCTCATTTCAACTTTATACAAATGGGGGAAAAAAACCAAACCCAGAATACTAATACT